GAGATAGACTGCTGGAACTGATTAGAGTTAATGATTAGGATAGAAGCAGGATTTGAGATAATGAATCCCAGATTTAGATAACAAATTACTTGTCATTGCATGTTTGTTTAGCTCTGCTTATAATGAGAAACGGAGGAACTGATAAATAGGCCCAGGAAGAACACAGACCTCATAGCTAGAAACTTATTTAAAAGTCACAAAGGGAGGAAATGGTAATGTCATTTGTAATGTCAACCATTGTAAAAGTAGAAAGGTCAGAGTGAGGAAGAGTGGTTTTCCTTCATCTTTTACGATCACTCCTCACTAAAAATGATCACCCCCCAATTCAGGGAACTGATCATGCAGGTGTAATGGCCTTTTAAACTCATTACCATGTATTTTAATATGAAGCAGGGAATGGGAGGTGTTAGCATTATGAATATATATTAGTATTTTGTGTATTCAAGGCTTGTAAATAAATAGACACTGGAATCTTTTGTGAGTTTGCAGTGCACCTTAGGGGACTACCCCACGCAATTGCCCAGTGCCAATAAAACATACACTTTCTAACTTTAAATTGTTATAAGGTCTTTTTTCAGTCAACAGATTGATACTAGATTAATATCAATATTTGGTAAATCAACACCACACAAAAGCTGATCTACAATAATAGTTCAGACAGGGGGTGATTTTTGAATATTTTTGTGCTGTACATTGGGTCAAAAAAAATGTATCAAAGGAGCATCGGTTATTTATGGCAGTGGGGAATTAGTGCTGGTGTTCCACACAGAATGCTTACTTTTATTTCAGCTTCATTTTCCCTTGAAAAATGAAATAAAATTTTCATATAGACTCTACTAATGTAGTGTTAAATACTTGCAGAACAGAGGGCACAGCACAGAGCAAGGAATTTTGGTCAAGTGGCAACTGAGTGCATTGGGAAGGTAATGGATTTGCCGGTATATTGCATGGTAACATTTTCATCAACTAAAAGGATGCCATACCCTGAAAACTGATTCCAGTGCAACTCCTCTGATAAATTCTGCAGAACAGAAAGTGTGTGGGATGCTGAAGTGGAGGGAAATTCCCTGTTATTTTGGAAGTGAGAGAGCTGAAAGAGTGCAAAGACGAGGTACAAGGGGATGCCTGTAGGAGTACACGATACTTCAAATGAAAGGAGGCAAAAGCTGGATATTTTGAAGGATGTAGTTTTAATCCTTGCAAGTGTTTTGAGCTGGGAGCAAGGGAAAGAAGAAAATCTGGATTCTATTCCTGGGGAAAGGTGTTTGCTGAGCAAAGAATCAGCTCCATCCACAGGGGCAGCGGGGGAATGCAACAAGGAACATAGGGGATCCTTCTGGTGCATTTTGGAGGGGAACCAGGAAAATCACAGCATGACGTTTTCCTTCTGCTCTATGAATAGTCACATTGTCTCACCTGAGAGTTTAAAAGGCATTTTATTCCATGCTGTCACTCGTTGCTTTTCTCTGTGCTGCTTTTTAAAGGCACCTCTCAGGAACAATTGTTGGGGTTTTTTTTGCTGTAGTGGACAGATCCTGCCCAGGATACCCGGTCCTTCAGGCTGAGATCTTACTTGGAACTAAGTAATGGAGGTAAATCATCACCATCAATTCTCACTAAAATGGAATTCAACAGAGTAAAATTATGCCTGAATATCAATTTTGTACTTGGATTTAAAGATATGGATTGCTGATCATGACATCTCTACATCTCAAAAATTGCTAAGTGTCACTGAAGTACTTCAGGCTATTTGCTTGTAAGCAAGATTCATTTTTGGCAATTTATTCTTACCTCATGTTTATTCTCCAACTGCAGCTGTTATTCCCAGTAGAAAGTAGGGATGTGCTGTTCTTCAGGGCTCACTGGCAGAGGAAAAGGATAGCAACTGATAATGCTGCACAGAAGCATTTGACTCCAGAGAAACACGCTTGGCTTTGAGCTTGTCCTGGTGTGTCTGTAATTCCCACCTGTGCAAGAGCAGAGCCATGCATTTTCAGTTCCCTGTGGCAAGTCAGTGACAACATGAAGCTCCACCTCATATCTGTCTTGATCCATGTGGCTCCTTGAGGGTGGCAGGCAGGATAAGGTGATGGAGTTACTGCCATGGTGCCAAACAGACAATGGATTGCTATGAAATCAATGAACAGCCTGGGGGCTTCAAGCTGAAGTAGATTTGGAAAACAAGGGAGGAAATGCTAAGGAATATATCACAGGATCACAAATAAAAGATATCTCAAAATCTTGTGTATATTGAGTGTACTTTAACTTAATTCATTGAAAGCAGTTTGCTTTCAATATTGAAAGAATAAGTAATTCCTACTTTCTCTTGTTCTTTTCCACTTTCTCATTTCCAAAGCAATACAGAGCCTCTAGTTTGTCTCTCTTCTCACCCAAAGGTGAGCAAAGAGTCAGGATCTGATTTGGGATACAGTTCTGTACATCCTTTTTTCAATCACCTTTTTTTTTTATTTTATTTTTAATGGCTCTAGCTATGTTTTGAATTTGTCTCCAGAGACTGAATGGTTCTGTTTCTTTTTAATAGATGTGGCTGAACAGATTCTGGTTTATTCTGCTGTTGGTAAATAGCTTCCTCACCAAAACAAAAATATTTATCCGGCTCCAAATATTTTTTTTTCTAGAGGTTAACCAAAATGCCTTGCTCAGTTTCTTTCCCCATTTTTGTCCCGGGAAAACAGCTGTAACACTCCAGACAACTCTAGCATATCAAATATGACTGAAAATTATATTTTTTATGCAATTACATGTTCCTGGCATTTTTATGTTCATTTGACAAAGTAAATGTTCCATTTGTCAGTGTATATTTCTAGATAGCAACACATTGTGAATGAGAATGTTATTCCTTCTCTCAAGCACTGAAAATACATTGAGATTTCCAGGTTTATTTTTTCACTGAAAACTAACTATGTTGGGATCTCTAGCTGAAAGCACTGTTGAAACACCCAGCTAGTATTTATGGTTATTTTATTGCTGCCTTAGGGCCAGGAGATACTAAACTAACTGTATCAAACTTTCTTCCTGATCTCCTTCCTTCACCCAATTATCCCGTAATTCCCTTAATCACTACTCAGCCCTGAAAGCTGCCCCAAACCAGCCAAGTCTCCATGTGCTTTTAGTCTGGAAAGCAGCTGGCTGCCAACTCATACGAAACTCTAAGGTTAAGTGGGTCTGGAAGGTGTGTCTGGAGATAATGAACACAAATGGATGGTATCAGCCTGGGCTGAATCTGCCTTTTATGCCAGGGACTAGAGACTGGGTTCTGAAACTAGGATCTGCCACAGAGATACTGAGAGGAGCTGAACGTTGTCTCCCACGTTTCAGCCTACCTGGTTATCACAGAGAGGTGCTTTCTACTGCTGGAGTCACTCTGTTGGCATGAAATGATGACACTGGTGATTTAGGAGGGCTGAGGGCTGTGCATGTGGCACCCTCATCCTAGTGCACAGATGAATTCCCAGTGGGAAGCCTGAGCTGGGCACTGCCGTAGGTGTGCAAGGTTCGCGCTGCTGCTCCTTGGTTTGTGGGTGGTTTCTCTACCACCTCTCCCTCACTCTGAGCACTGCAGCAACAGTCCCAGAGGGCTGGAACACCCATCAACCACTCACACTCCAACCGGGGGTGTAACCCTTACTATGTTCTCTGCAAAGATCCAACCACACTAGTGGGCACAGAAAATAATAGAATATCCCGAAGTGGAAGAAACCCAAAAGGATCATCAAAATCCAACTCCTGCTCCTGCACAGGACAATCCCAAGAATCCACTGTGTGCCTGAGAGTGTTGTCCAAATGCTTCTTGAACTTTGTCATGGTTGACACCTGATACCTAAGCACTTCCCTGGGGAGCCTGTTACAGTGTCCACCGCCATCGGGGTGAAGAACCCTTTCCTAATATCCAACCCAAGCGTCCCCTGACACAGCTACATGTCATTCCCTTAGGTCTTTTCAGGAGTCACCACAGAGATCGGATCAGTGTTTGCCCCTCTGCTTCCCCTCACAAGGAAGCTGCTGCAGAACGGCTGCGAGGTGTCCCCTCAATCTCGAGGCTGAAGAGAGCAAGTGCTGCTCCTTGTAAGAGCTTCGGCATCGCTGCTGCAGGCAGGGGCACGCTCTGGTTTTGGGTTTGCCGTGCCCCCGGTTTGCTACATTCTCCCAGAATGATCTTAGCCCACAGATTTTTCTGTGTACTTTTTGTAGGATGTACTTTGTGAGGGATACCCTTTTACTGGGCGGACGCGGTGATCCCGGCTCCGGGACTCTTGGCTCGAAGCCGGGGAGATCCGGAGCGTTCGGGGCGGCCCGCGGAGGGAGGATGGGACGGAGCGGGTCGGTGTCGCCGACACCATCGGCAAGGGGTCGGTCCCGCTGGGGCGAGTTGGAGACCGGTGCGGCCTCTGCCGGGGAAGAGAGCCAGGCGGCGGGAGAGAAGGAGAAAGAGAGGGAGGGTGGGTGCCGGAGGCGACACCCGGAGCGGGATCTCCCTCCCTCTCTTCAGCCGTGCGCTGCGCTGTGCTCGGTGCCCGCGGTGAGGCGGGAGCGGGCGTGGCGCCGGAGCCGAGCTCCGCAGCAGCGAGGGCTCCGCTCTCTCCCTCCCGCGGCGGCCGCGGGCCAGGAAGCGAGGCCGGAGCACCCCGCGGCCGGGGTGGGTTGGAAATTTACCGGGTCGGTCCTCAGCGAGGCTGCAAGCGAGGGCCTCGGCAGGAGGCGGAGGGAGGGCGGGGAGCGGCGGAGCATCATCTGGCGGGGAACGCGAGGGACCAAATGACTGTGAGGAAGGGCGGTAGCCGCCACCGCCGCCGAGAGAGGAGCGAGCCGCGGCGCAGCGGCAGCAGCAACCCCGCTCCCCCCGGCGGCGATGGCAGCGGGCGGCGGCGGGGCTGAGCTGAGCTGAGCCGGGCCGGCCCCCCCGCCCGTGGGCGCCGCATGGCGCGGGCCTGATGTCGGAGCGCGGCCCGGTGCCGCGGCGGCGCTGCGGGAGCAGGAGGATGGCGGGGCTGGCGTGGAAGTGGCCGCGTACCCGCCTGCCCGTGGGCGCCAGCGCCCTGGGCGTCTTCGTCCTGTGCTGGCTCTACGTGTTCCCCGTGTACCGGCTGCCCGACGAGAAGGAAATCGTTCAGGGGGTGCTGCTGCAGCAGGGCAAGGCGTGGAGGAGGAACCAGACTGCGGTCGCCCTGTTCAGGTACCGCCGTGCGCAGCCCAAGGGCAGCGGGGACGGGCGGCCGCGCGAATCCGCGGCCCAGAACCCACCCGGGCATCCTTCCTACCCCGCCGAGCCCCAAACTTTATTCTTTCTTCCTCGACCCTTTGTTTTTTCACAGCGGGCGGGAGGCAGGCAGGGCCCCTTCTGCCCAGCAAAACTTTTTTCGGGGTGGCTCCGTTCGCTGCGGCGAGGAGAAGGGGCTCGGCGCGGGGGATGGAGGCTCGTCTTCGCAGGTACACCTTTGCAAAGGGGGATGAGGTTTCCGAAGATTACGGCGCTCGCCTGCACAATGGGATGCTTCTCGCTTCCCGGATATCAGTGGCACTGGCAGCCCCTGTGGCTGCTAACAAAGCCCAGAGCCGCTAGCCCGGCTTCCCTCGGTGCTGGGGACTGCCAGCTTGCTGCCAGGAGAAAGCCCGGCTTGTGGAGCTCCCCAGGATGCGCAGGGGAAGGTTTGCGTGGATGTGCATTCGTGTCAGCACGCCCGCTCCGAGCAGCACTTGGGAAGCTCCGCTCCTTGACTCTATGTGGTTTATTATAGAAGCCACGTGTAAAGGCACCTTTTTTGATTTTGACGTGGCTGGGAAATGGCGATAATCCTTGGGGCCCATTTCACCTTGCCCAGCTGCACAGGAGAGGAGGAATGTTGCAACCGAGCTACCGCAGCTGAGAGCGGTGGAGAACCGACCGCGTCCCTGCGGTGGGGAGGATTTTTTTTTAATCACTCTGCTTTGAAAGCGTGTGCAGTGGCGATTTGCATTTCCTCAAAAATTTCTCACATGTTTGGGTAAAATACAGGCAATTGGAAGAGAGGCAGATTTCCCTCCCTTTACTGGAGGGAAGCTGTTTTTTTTCTCCCTGTCCTCCAAGCAGCAAATTAAAGATCAGAGTGTGTGGTAATCAAACTGCCTCCGGAAAAACCCTCTTTAGTAAAATGAATCAGATCCAAAATTCAAGGGACTTATTTTCCCTTTTAAAAAATTTTCTTTTGTTTTTAAGTGACATACAGTTTTATTTTAAGTTCTTCAGTGTTTTCTGAATCTATTTGCCTTTGTCATGAACTGGAGCTGATGTGGTGGCTTAATATCTTGTCTGCTGGGATAACAGAAACTTCACATTTGTCTGTTAGCCCCCAAAGCCTGCAGGAAATCTGAGCAATGATGGGTTATAAGCAGATATGTGTTAATACTGTCTCATTAAGCAGGCCTGGAAGAAGTCTTCCCTTTAATACAGAACTAGCAATAAGGTAGAGATACAGAATCCCTCTCCTAAAACACTTAACTAACAGTAGAAGCTGTGTTGGCCTCGAATATTAATTAATCTTGATCCTGTGCACCAAAGACCCCCATTTTTGGAGGGAGATGAATCCAGTTTTTTTTTAAAAAGTACCCCATAGGTTATGTAGGAAAGAGTTTGGTCTATTAGTTGTTACGTTAGTAAAGCAAATGTTTGAAGGTTGGTAGTGCTGCTGCAGTTTCAGTTTACAAAACAGTTTTAGACCATTTCTACCACATGGTTTAGTAACAAAACTTCTGTATGGCTTATCAGCTATTCCACTTGCCCATAAGTTTTTCTACTCACTAAGCACAGTGATTATCTCAGAGATGGTACTGAAGAGAGTCTCATGCAATAAAAGGAGCTGTTGTTTCTTGTCTGAGTCTCTTGATGAGTTGGTGCAGCACTAAATACAATGAGCTTTAAATCAATCTGCTTTAAAAGCAGCTTTTAAGAGAAATTGTATGCTGGAGATATGTAGTGTGTATAGTAAAACTGTATTAATCCAAAAGTCGTGAAGTAGAACTGTATTTTTGCTGCTTAAATTTACTTCACAACAGAAGATTTTGAAGTTGAAGCCCATGTCAGGCAAGCTGCTGTATATTTGAGGTTAACAGAAACTCTTTGCTCTGGTCCTGCTGTCCCTAAGCAAGCCAGCTGTAAAACCTCCAGATTTAACTTTCTGCTGGAAAATTCCACAGAGAATGTCAGTCTCTGAATGGGAAAGGAGGGATAGAGCTTCACAGAAATTTCCTGCATGTGAACTTTGAGGTAATATGGCTTTCCATAACAGTCTAAGATTGTGCTCTTTAATGTATTATTAATAAAATATTATTTAAGAACAGTGTTAATTGCTGTTCTCCCTAACCCTCCTGACACATTCTACTTAACAAACAATTTTGATTTCACTCAGTTTGGAGCAGAAATTGGAGTTAATCTGGGCTAAAAATCCATACACAAATATTCATAGTACTGCTTTGTGTAATACAGTAACATTTGTGATATTGTATAGCCAGGTTCTTGCTACACAGATCAAACACCTGATAGGTTTGGAACGTTCTCCTCCTATAAACTCACAGGACTGCTGTTGCTGAAGTAGATGTTGGGTAGTTAACTTGATGAAATCACACTTTTCAAACCTCAGAAAGACTATTCCCCCTTTGCCTTCTGTACCTGGATCAAGTGACTAAGTGACTAAGTGACTTAGCAAGTTCAACAAAACCATCTGGGTAATCTGGGGTAGTTTGAGTTGAACCCTGGCAACTAAGTGCTGGTAGCTCCTCAATCTCCACTGCTGCTTCCTTCTCCTCTCTGAACAGCCAAAAACCTTATGGAAAGATCTGAGCCCTGCAAACCCTTGCTTATGCAAGAACCCAGGCTGACCTGGTTCTTCTGGAAGGATTCAATGGGGGTTTTGTGTTTGAATGAATTTCCAGAACTGGTTTTCAAATATAAATACCTGTAAAATTAGCCATAGATACCTTTAAATTTCAAGATACTAGAGCTTCAGGGTAGTTATCCTGTGAAAGCACCTCCTGTCAGACAAATGCTGACTATTCTGTCAGTCAGATGGTAAAATTCAATTTTGAACTGCAAAGTGGTCAAAATACAAGTAAGACCATCATTACAGCCACTAATAGCTAATGTGTCTAATTTGCCTACAATATAATGGCTTGTCATCCTCTGAGGTGGTTAATGTTATTGAGCCCTAACTGTTTCTACAGATTCCTTAGGGAGTATTTTAGGGCCTAGTGCTCCTGAGATTATTTAGGCAAAAATGTTTCTTCTTGTTGTCTGTTATTTGCTAAAGTAAATTACAGACAGTAATACCTTTAGGATTTATTTAAAATACTGCAATTCATTAAAGGCAGAACTGGATCTTTTTATCTGCCTTACAAGCTCCAAACAACCACAAATCCCAAGCACTGTGTGTTTATATGACACTTCTCATTTGTTTGTTAGAGGGTGTGCCTCTAGGGAGTGAGTGTGCTTGTGGGGGGGCAGTGGGTTTTGGACTGTCAGGAGTCCCACTGAACAGCTTGGATGGTGATTAGTGTCTTTAAGGTTCTTCAGAAAGAGATGGGACAGTCCCTGCAAGACAACAGAAAGGCTTCCTTTGAGATTTAGCTTGTGTTCTTGCTTCTGCGGCTTCAGTTTTGTGTGATGCTGGAAGGTCACCAGGGATTATTCTGGGAGTGACTTGATTAAACTGGTGGCAGATGTGCCCTGTGAACTCACTGTCCATGACCTGACTGTGGTCCAGAGCATCTGCTACAGCTTCTCTTTTTAGTGATGTCCCCTGTGTCATGGCCAAACTGGCTGTGCTCACCTTGGCTGGTGGCTTCTCCACTCTTTTCCACAGATTTATCCTCTTGTCCATTTTCCATGGACAGAGCAGAGAAGCCACTGCCCTGAAATCACACAGCAGGGCCAGTGGCTGAATTGCAGACAATATTCAGGCTCTGGTGTTTGCAGTGTGAATGTGAACAGACTGTGGATCCTCTCCTACTGTTGGCTTTGTGTGCCTTGAAAAATACTGCTCTGTTCCCAGTGTGCCAGAGGGGCTTTTCCCACTGTAACTTGTCTTGTCAGCTGCTCTCTGCTGGGTGTTCCTGTCTCTACCTGGAGTGCAATCACATGAGGAGCATCCCCTTGTGCACATCACTGTTCATTTTGGACTGCACTAACACAGAACTAGAATTCCAGGTCGCTTCCCCAGCTGGGTATGACAGATTCTGTTGCCGAGTCAGCAAGGTTTTCCTTAGTTCAGATGGCTTTCTTTTCCTTCTCCTTTTATGTCAGCACTGCAAATTACATGAGTGTTGGGATCCTCATTGGGCTATCTCAAGGCAAATCTGAGATTAAATTTATGTTGCTCAGGCTGACTTTATATAAGAGTTTGGCCCTTCTTAAACAGTTTCATCAGATACAGAATTATTCCTGCTTTCACTAGATGCATATGAAGGACAGAGTTAGGAGTAGCTGGATTAGGGGAGATGCAGGATTAGGTTAGTTCTGCTTCTATGGCCTGAGAAGCCCTGCCCTGAAACTAATGGATATTAGTTATCCATAATGGATATACCCACATGTTGAGCCAAATCCAGTTCATTTTTCTGTCAAGAGTAGGTGTTGCTACTGCCTGGCTGTGTTTTCATCAAGTTGATTTTGTTGTTGTTGCTGTTGTATTTGCTTCATTGGTGATAAATGGAGTATTTGTAATTTGTGGTTTCCAGCTGAGATGAGTTGTTTTGGTGAAAAGGTACAATTTTGAAGAGCGGGTTAAAGGTGAAAGAAATGTTCTTACTGCATGCTATTATTTGGAGGCTGTGATGAAGAAAGCAAGCTGTAGAGAGTCTTGGCTCCATATCTTCAAGGTAGATACCTGAATAACATGAAAAGAATGAGAAATAGTTATCTGAGTTAGCTCACACTGTCTTTGCAGATGAGAATTGTACTGGCAAGATAGGAATGGATTTAAATTCATCAGTTCTAGCTCCTGCTTTTCTCCTTCCTTGACCCTAAGCAGCATTTTCTTACAGGCTTTGATTTGCAATCCTGATGAAACAGACTGTTGAGGTCCCTAGTATCCCGCAAAGTGTTGGATCGCTGCTTTCCTTTGGATTTGTAAAAACCCTGGTCTGCCAGTATATATGGGAAGATGTAGCCAGCTCCTTGAGGCTCTTTTCCTGTTAGCTGGAAGCAGC